CCCCAAAACCCCAAAACCCCAAAACCCCAAAACCCCTTTCACTTATATAGCGATTGAATCTCAATTAGCTAATTTCAATAGGAAATGAATTAATTTTGCCCAAGGTTCCTTCTCTTCCTTGATCTAGTCCATACTTCGTTATCCTTGAACCACTCTTCGTCTCGTCAATCTTGCTTGTAAATCTCAATACAATCGTAAGTGGTCTTATTTCTATTTGAGCGTCTTCTTCTGCCTGGTTTGTTTCTTTTTCTAGCAGATCTGGCTGAGGAAAGCAATTTTGAGCCTATTGATTAATCAATAATATTACCCTTTGAAGTCTTCCATGAAGTTTGAACTTGTTCTTGAGAATCCTCAAAATTTTCGCCCTTATTCACATTTGAAACAGAGTTTAGTAAGTCGCTTGTCAGTGATTCATAAGCTTTTATCTTACTTTGAAGCTTATTTGAAAGGGTTTCATCTTTCTTTATAGTTTTGAATACTTGACCAATCATGGCTTCCAGCTCCTTAATTTCAGCTATATCTTCATCTTGATTCTCTTCCCCTATCTCAGGGTTTTCTTCTACTGGTTTTGGAGTTTGCTCTTCTTTTTGAACATTATCATGAACTAGAAGGAGTCCTTGGTCTTCTAGATTTTTCTTGAGAAGTTCATTTCCATCTATTTGAGAAATTCCGTCTAGGAATTCATTATTCTCAGAATACTCATCTTCATAGTTCATGTTTTTCGATTTGAATATATCTTCTTCTAACTTCTTGATTTTCTGAGTGAGATCGTCAATATTCTTGGACCCATCTTTTCCATTCTCTTTGTTCTTTCTCAAAATTTTATAAGGTGTGACATTTGGGGTAGATTTCCCACTCCCAGGATCACTCTGAAGAAGACTAATACTACTCCTAACAACAGATGACTTTCCAGTAAGGCATCTTATAGGAGTTGAGCTAGAAATTGCATCCAAATTAGAGTTTGTTATATCTAAAAGCTCTTTACTGGCTGGCTTCTGCGCCTCCTTCTCTTCCTCAACTTTCTCTGAAAGTTTCTTATCTCTCTTCTTGGGTAGTGTTTCTGGTATTTCAAATCTGAAATCAATGCCTTCTACAGGGACTGGGTTGATCAGTTTTTGCTTTTTCACTGACTTCTTGAGAGCACTCTTCTTAACAACAGGAGAAAATGGTTTATTTTCTTTGGCATTGGTAATTTTACTCTTTATAACCTTATTTATCCTTCTAGGAACCTTCGGAATCCTTGGTTTTACAGCTGGGCTAGGAAACCTATTGCTAAGCCTTGAGCTTGGCTTCGCAGGACTTTTATACATTTTATTCGATCTTGGACTTTTCCCCCTTTGAAATTTTTGGGGAGTCTTTGGCTTATTTTCCGTTATTTCCTTATTTAAATTCTCTTCTTCAGTCTCCTTGATCAAACCCAATTCTCTGGCCTTGAGCTTACTAGATATAGTTGGTTTCCAGAACCTGCTGCTCACATTGGCATATCTTTTAGAACTACCTGATTTATTTGACTTGCTTCCAATACTCTTTCTTCCCGAAACTACACTTGACATTTTAGAATTATGAATTTATAAATTTAACTGAAAGGGGTTTTGGGGTTTTGGGGTTTTGGGGTTTTGGGGTTTTGGGG